AAGTTGGACTCGGACTTGACGATTCCTGTAGAATAGAAAAAAAAGAGTTAGAACTGTGATCAATAATATGTATGGTGCCACAGCCTGTTATCCGAGCCAACCATATCGTTTCCGAGCGCTATCCAAATACAAACGAGATTCTGGGGCTTCCTCTTCGCTTAAAAATAGTCAAGGAGCAAGGCGCTCATTGGCTGTTGCTGTCGTCAGGTGCCAATTGTTCTAGCCGTTTACCTTTTTACGGGTACGCTTAATGGTCGAGGTATCCATTTACTAAAAATTTCCCCATAGTGTCACACGTACTCTAGATCCATCTCGAGTACAAGGCTACGTAACATAACGCGGGGGGGCAGGCTAGTGTTCGGTTCGAGACCGATTAGATAACGATTCGACCGTATAGGCCACGTATATACATCATCGCAACACTGGTGCCAATTTATTCGTGAAAAATAAAAATACAATTTCTCCGATTCGGTCATGACTGTGAGAGCATTCAGGCCGGGCTCTCCTGTTCTGCATAGAGCAAGACGAGCCCTGCTCCAATGGAGCGAGTACAGAGTCCTCTCCCTTCGGATCTGTTCGCTTGTAATCTCGCCCTCCCCAAAAAGTATAACTTGTGTGCTTCCAGGGAAGTAGACTGTCGAAAGATTGTCTTGTTCCGCGGGCGGCTGGACCCGAACACATGTTTTGGGCGTGTTTATTGCCCCCTCTGTCGTCTATCAAAGCTCCTCCTGGGGCGGAAGGAACGGGTAGACGATGATCTATAATCACACACTCGCGGCAATCTAGACGAGTATGTGCTTCTAGAAGAGTAGCACCGCAGGGATCTGGCCGTTCGATGGTCGTCTGCGCAGATGCTAAGAGAACGAAGCCTCAAGATGCCCAGCGAGGCATACTGAGAAGGAAGAGGGGGGCTGATTGCAACGGCCGTTTTGGTGATTCGATGACGCTATGAAAGTGTCAAACAAAAAATTCCCCTGACTTTGTGCTCTTGCGATCCCAGTCCTCCTTCTGTGGGTTACAACATGAGTGGGTCATGAGATCCGAAAAAAAAAAGGCACGCACCTACTCAATCCCACCAAGGTCACTCGTTCGAGAAAGCCTCGTTCGATAAATAAAATAATGTTAATTTTTAGAGATGGATTTGATTCTGTCATTTTTGCCGGCCGTCGAGATTCAACTGACTGACCGCTACCAGGCCAGCGGGTAGAACAAACCACATAAGCGAGATGGTGGCTTAGCTCCTGATCTTTATCCGCGAAAATGTCGAATAAATGTTAAATCGTTCCCATCCCTCCCTGTGTTCGTGATCTGGGGAAAATAAAAAGGGCTTGAGCATCTCGGTCTGACTTCATCGCTGACGAGCTCACTTCCCCCTCTCTCCCTCTAAAAAGCTTAAAGCCACCTGTTCTGCGGGAACCATCTAGACCCACACCGCTCTAGCTCGTTGCAACTATATAGCTATAGCCTTTTAGTTCTTGTTGGAATATTTCATAGCCACTTCCCCACACAAAGCAAGTCAAGAAAAAGGGCCAAAATAGTGCGGTTTAATTACGACTGACAAGCTTGTCCCTGGCTGCTACGACCGGCCAGCTCGCACTAACCGCGTGTACCAATAAGCTTCCAGAGTTGACAGTTATAAAGAGTGCAGAGAGAGTTGGCCCAGCCTCGCTCACCCAACTTTGGTCTCCCCACCTCTCTCTCCCCTACCACACCACTCTCTGCTACCACCCACCACCAACCCACAACTTGACCTACTACCACCTCCAAGAGCACAACCCGAACCATGGCAGCTACACTAGCCGACACGGCACAGCTCGCAGCACTCGTGGCTGCTACAACAGGAGGCACGCCGCAACTCGCCAGCCCACCGAGCGCGAAAAAGGAGACGCTACGCTCTGAACGAATGCTACGAAACATGCTCGCCAAGGATGGTGTCGCCAGGTCTCGCAGCCTCTCGAGAGGGAGCTCAACCGCCCACCACGTACCGTCATCGACGCGACAGCCCGCACCACCCCTCCCCAACCAGCAACCCCAAGTATACTCTCCGACTCCAGTTCCGAGTAATACTCTGCCCAGGAGTCCGAGTGGCAGCGGGAACAGCAATGCGTCGAGGTGAGCATCTAGAGGCCCAGCAGCGTCCGCGTCCCTTTCGGTCGATCGCTCTTGTCCCCCCCATCCCCCCTTCTCTCCCCACCTTCGCAGGCGCTACCTTGACTGGCGCTCGTGCATCATGCGCTCATTTAGTAACAACACATGCTGACAAAATTTTTTGGATTTATGTCATAATTCGATGCGATCACAATCATGAACGCAGTAATGACGAGAGGCCCATGTTCGTCTCTAGTGGCCCTGGGGGAAGCCTCGCCATGCTCTTCAACCCCGGTGTGGGCTCTGGCTCGGGTGCAGGCTCATCATCACATACAAGACCACATTTGCCTACACCACGCAAGACGTATGACGGTGCTACCATATTTGCCACTGCTGCGACGTCGGATCGGTGTGCTTCGCCACCACCAGCAGTGAGGCACTTCACCGCCCCTCCGGGAACCTTGATCCACACCCATTCCTCACCCAATATCAATCAAAAACATTCGCCACCTACAGACTGGCTATACGAGGTGAGATTACATTTCCCCCCCTTCCCCCCTCTCTTTTCTACCACCATACATATTATTGATCACAGTTCTAACTCTTTTTTTTCTATTCTACAGGAATCGTCAAGTCCGAGTCCAACTTCGTATTCTTCGGGATGCAACTCGTCTCATCCACCCGGCACTCCTTCCTCTTCGTTTAACATTGAATCCGCGAGTGAATTCTGTCGGCAACAACAAGGTTATGTCTCATTTGGAGACATTCAGGGTCTCGGACGCCCAGCCGGTGAAGAGGAGGAGGAGCGACTAGAACGGGAGCGTATAGAGTTGGAAATGAGGCGCAAAAAAAGGCTGGTGGAGTTGGATCGAAGACGGGATTATCAGCAGACCCAAAACACCAGGCCACGAATAATTATTTGGGCCCCCCCTTTTTTCCATCCGAGCGGCAAAAAAAAAACTTATTGCGGCCCAGACGACCTATCCATCTTATGCAGGGGGGGATGGGCAATCCCCCCAAGGTCACTCGTTCGAGAAAGCCTCGTTCGATAAATAAAATAATGTTAATTTTTAGAGATGGATTTGATTCTGTC